AGACAAACAAATGTAATTCTTACCATGTTGTTCGTGTAAGTGTGACTTTTACCTTCTTTAGAAGGATGCTGAGGCACTCCTAACGTAGCAGAGTGATATTTGACTGATGAGTGGTGCTGTGAAAAACACTTTCTCTGTACTTTCTGTAGTTTCAGTGCTTTTACTAAACTTTCTGCCGTGATCCGGGACTAGCCTGGTTCAGGGGCACCTCCAGAGTTTTTTCGTAGGGGGGTGGCACAGCAAAAAGCCTAGTTAATTTCATGCTATTAACGTTGATATCACTTAAAATAGGTAATTGATTGGTTGACTGAAGGTCCCAACCACCGCTTTAATGATTCTCAGCACAGCTGAGCAGAAGCAGCTCAAGATTCACGCTCTCAGACTGGAGTTAACTAAAGAGCATCATGGAAGAGTGTGAACTGCTGCCTGTCTCCTTGTTGGCAGTGATCTGTCCAGGGATTGGCACCAGCTGCCCTTGGTACATAAACAGGACACAAACCTGAGAAACGTGCAGGATGCAGTCATGCGTAACAGCTGCCTAATTTGGCTCCTTTTGAGCTTCCAATGCAGGCATCAGCAACAGTATTCGTTTGGTGACTACCAGCAGCTGTTTTGCTTCCACTCTCCCACCACTCGTGAGAATCGAAGACGAAGCAATGCTAAGTGAGCTAGCCACCCTTACAAACATGCACTCAGACATAATGCCTGTGACTGTGGGCTGGAAAATGCCTTTATTAATCTGAAAGTGGCACTAAGAAACTTCTCATTTCAAACTTCCTGTTAATGCAAGCGGCTGATAGCAATGGCTGGAGTCACATTTGTAAAATACAGCCTTTACTGCTATTAAAGGGTCTTTACCTCACAATATATAACACCTGAATTTTGGGTTGATGAATCACTTATTTAATGTGGAAACTGTAAACTAACTGGGACTAAATGGTTTTAACAGAAAAAACCCAACTTTCAATAACTGAGACACGATGCATGAGGGATGATCGTGGCTTTCCTTTAAGAATCTGTAAAGTAAACATGTAAAATTTTACAATTTCATTTTTTACAAAAAAGTTCAATTATTAGATAAAAACCTGAGGAAAAGCAAACTATCATAAAACCACCGCCCAGTCTACTGAACGAACTGAAACCTGAGAACAGTTTCCCAGTTTTAAACTGGGCTCGTGGTTTATCAGCCAGACTCTGAGGAGCCTGGACTACATCTGGGGATGTCGCTCCTAAAATAAACTCAGCAGAGTTCCTGTCAGCACACTAACCGTCAAAGAGAAGCTGTGGACACAGCATCTACACAGCCTCAGATTCAGCTGTTTGTGTTTTTACATATGTTTTATTTACTGGAGTGAGCAGCAGTGGGATATTTGACGCAGTTTAATGAAGACAAAGTGTAGTTTCATAGAGTGCTGAAAGATATTTGTTGTGGTCACATCTGAATATTTAAAAACTGATGCTGTGTATCTGTGTAAACTCTGTCATTCTGAGTGGAGATGATCTAATTCACCTGTGGTCGTTACCTAAACACAGGAAGATGTCTTCATTTTTGCAGATAAGAAATATAAAGACATGTATTTGGTACAGAATATGCAAAGGTTCATCCTGAAATATATTTTTCACTCAGATTAAAGACGAACGTAATGGTTGTAACGTTGTTCTGCACATCCAAATGTGTCTTTCTTCATATCACCTATATTACCCACAATGCACCTTAAACTCATAGGACGCATATGTGAATTCAATTCAATTCAGTTTTATTTATATAGCGCCAAATCACAACAAAAGTCGCCTCAAGGCGCTTCATAGATACAGAGAAAAACCCAACAATCATATGACCCCCTATGAGCAGCACTTTGGCGACAGTGGGAAGGAAAAACTCCCTTTTAACAGGAAGAAACCTCCAGCAGAACCAGGCTCAGGGAGGGGCGGCCGCGGGGCTGCTGTGATTGGTTGGGGTGAGAGAAGGAAGAAAATCATCTGGACTCGTGAGTTAAACTAAGAAAATCTCAAGTCTTAACCCTATAATGACCTCAATCTCATCAACATGATCAATACTTGCCATAATTTCAAAATGTTACGGACAAAACTCCTTTTTTTTTGTCTAAAATTAACATTGTTGTTACCAAAAAGTTGCCAAAAACACCCAATATATGACATGCGATAAAAATATATAATAAATATAGAACAAAATATCATACACAACATGATATAGCAAAAAATATATACACTTGTGGATTTTGTTTATAAGGGTTAATAAACATGGCTGGCTATTTTTTGATGGGTTAAAGACAACTCCGTAATTTTCTCCCAAACTGTAAAAAGCTAAAAACAAAGGTCTCACAACAATAGTTAGAGGCTGAAAACTGCTGAGCTGAACTGGAGCAGTCTTATAGAGTAGACCTTATTATCTCTCTGGACTGAGTCCTGATGTCCACTTCCGAGCACGATGTGGGGTGATACTGATATTTGCTGCCAACAATTCTTTGAAAGGACGTTTCATTTTATGCTGCACTACTTTGTTGATGTTGTTTGACGTGTCCACTGACTGTGTCTTTGTCTCATTTGTGTGTAGGGTGCCAGCCAACATGTCAACACAAGCGCCGACATTCACACAGCCGCTACAGAGCGTCGTGGCACTTGAGGGTAGTGCCGCGACGTTCGAGGCTCAAATTAGTGGTAAGACAGCTTCCAGACTGAACCCGACCATTTGTGACTGTCAAATATTCCCCGACCGCTTCGAAATAGTACTGTTCTGTTGTCCACAGGTTCTCCAGTTCCCGAGGTGAGCTGGTTCCGCGATGGCCAGGTTCTTTCCACCACCACTCTGCCAGGTATACAGATCTTGTTCAGCGATGGCCGCGCTGTTCTGAGGATTCCCGCTGTGACGGCTGCACACAGCGGAAGGTTTTCTGTTAGAGCCACGAACGGAGCTGGACAAGCCACAAGCACCGCTGAACTCCTGGTTACAGGTGAGAGCAGGTGACCTGGGAAAACACAGGAAACATACACTGAAGTATTTTCCCATTCAAATCACTGAATCCAGGTGTTCCAATCACTTACACAGTCCCTGGCTCCTATAGCATTCAGGCTGCTTCTACAAACATTTGTGAAAGAAGGGTTTGCTCTCAGA